AAAATTTCACAATGAATTGTTTTGTCGATAAATATACAAGTGTTATAATTCAAATAACAAAATTTAATAAAATAAAAATTAAAGTATGTAAAGGTGATGGGGTTTTGGGTTTAGTGAGAACCTGATGTTGTGGTTCTATCGGGGTCGTATGGTTCGAGGGTTTAGAACGACAAAGACAAGTAGATATAAAATTATAGACGTAGTAGTAGTATTCGAGGTGCAATAAACTTTTGTCTGGTTAGTTTCTAATGTCCTAACTCAGAGGCAACGAGACGGCGGAGCCAGTTCACGAATACCAAAGCCTAATTTGTACAGTAGAAATCATGCTAGGTTTTTTAAAACATCTTTAAGGCAATGAAACGGCAGAGCCAGTTCACGAATACCATATAACGTGATTATGAATAATATCTTTAACCAACCAGTCAAAATTGACACTTTAAGATATTAATTTAATAAATGACCTATTGCTTTGTCATCCTTTACTCAAACTTATTTACTCCAAATAATTGGGATAACATAAAATTACTTACTTCTTTTATTCTAGCAAATTGCTGTAAAATGATTTGATAAATATCTCGATATGTTTATATATGTTTAAAGGTATTTAATTCGCACTTTAACAAAAGATAAATAATTAAAAGAAGTTCTTTGTATATATAAATAAAACGCGTAAACGTCAGCCGACAACAACACATGTGACTGATAATTGTTTTTTTTTTATTCTTAATTCAATTCAGAGAAAGCGAACTCTCTCTCTCTGCTTTACTCCTCCTTCTGGAGTCTCTCCCTTACTGAAGTCTGGAAAGATTTCAGTGCTTTTTATAGTAAAATGATAGTACCTTCAATCCAGGGATATTGTTGTAAGCGCTTTTAGTGATCTTTTTAGTTTATTGTATTTAATTATACATTACATGATTATTATATTGAGATAGCACATTTAACAATTGATAAATTGACATACATATATAAAGAATAAGGAATTGTGTTGAACATCGTATTTGTTATGACAGATAAATTATTTGTTTGTTTACAAGTTATTTAAAATACAGATTATACATTTTTCATTGATAATTGTAAGATGCAAAGCATTAAGCATATTACGACACAAGCGTCTTATGAATCGATTTAAATAGAACTTAACGAGTGCAGTAATTTGTAATTATGAAAAACAGGACCTGAAATTACCTTGTTTAAATTTTTAAAAAAGAATGGCCAAATATTAATAAAAATTCTTATTTATTTTGGACTACTGATTAACATGTAAGAAATATTTTAATGGGAATTGCTGATGAGATGATACGATTTTGTGTTATGCATCATTTTGAATTAAACTCGAAGAACTACCTAGGGATGATTATAAAGATTTTCTCAAACTAATAACAATATTTTTAGGTAGTGTGCCACCTAAAGGTATACACTTCAAAACATCAGGTGCTTGTCATCTAGCGCACGTTGGATGGCCAAATCATTGTATTGTTTAATAGTATTTTTATTCCGACACCAGTTTAAAATTACTCAACGCGAAGATAAATGTGTTAAAACAAATCTGCTGTTTTATTATTAAGTGTTACGCGGAATCCTGGTTTTCATGTTCGAATGCCGCGAATGAATGACATTGGGATTTAAAAAAAATTGTATTTTTATAAAAATGACGATAAAGAAGTCGCTGAAAAAGCAATTATGATATTTATTAATCATTTGTGGTACTCGAGCGAAGAGTGTGCGGCTTTTTCAATTTTTGATGAAAGGTTAAGTAATGATACGAGAAGAAAAATGGCTGAAAAATTATGCATGGTACTCCTGAAAAAGAATCGCAAAAAAAGTTCATCCTTAAATTTGAAGGTTTACAACGCTTTCTTAGCAAAGATTTATCATTAGAGATATTCTAGGGAATAATTCGTAAAACATATTTGAGAAATTTAATATGTCTACTGATTTTTTGCGAGTTCAGCCAGACAAATGGAATGAACATGAAGGGTACGTCGAAAGAAAAAGAGTGGTAGAATCAATAAAAGCAGTCAACGATTTATATTTTAAATTACAAAAAAATTTATCAGTATTTAATTGAAATTATCAACATTGAATAAATACCATACCTTAATTCCGAAAGTGACATATCGACTTGATATTTTTTCATTTTTTTTTTATTTCATTATTTTTATCACTATATTCACGAATAATATAATTCTACTGGTGCATAATAATTTTATTATTAAAAGGAAACGTTTATTAAAAAACATACTCTTTTATGACATTATAAAATAAAAATGTTTCCCTCGATGAGATAACTTTTATTTTAGTTTATTGTTCCGAAACTGATTCATCTATGTCGGATTCCTCAAACTCTGATGACACGTTAGAATTACAAAATCCTTGTTTTCCTAGTACATCGAACGCCCAAGAAAAAATTTTACTTGATTTTGATGAAAAAAAAAAAAAAAGAGCTAGGAAAGAAATAATGTGTAAGCGTTTAGCGGTTGTACTTGACAAGTGTAAAGTAAGCGACAGAGATTGCGTTCACATACTAACAGCAGTTTTAGATTTGTTATTTCCGTTGATCCAAGTGTGTACGTTATTAACAAGACGTCAATAAAATCTGCTAGAGAAAAATTTCGTAAATATATTTTTCAAGATTTAAAGTGCAAATTTGACCGTTTAAACACAAAATCATTAATACTCCACTGGGATTCTAAATTACTACCAGATATAATCGGAACGTCTAAGGTTGATCGACTTCCTACAATTGTTACAGCACACGATGTTAGTCGATTGCTCTGATAGATTCAGGTACAGGAATTGAAATAACTTCTGCTATTTATGAAACTTTAGAGGAACAGTGTATTTTAGATCGTTGCTTTTGTGTTTGACACAAGTGCGAGCAATGCTGGCCGATTAAAGGCGCATGCCACCTCCGAGAACAAAAATTTGATAGAGATATTTTACTCTTAGCATGTAGGCACCATGTTCACGAAATAGTTTTGCAAGGCATATGACTTTTCGATTAAACGTACGCTTTACGTAGTAGTAGTAGTAGTAGTAGTATAGTCATTTATCGATTGCACAAGTCGCCGCAACGACTCGATAGTGTTACGTCGCTATTTAGGGGTTTAGCCTAAATGCCCGTCGACAGTATTCTAAGGGACCAACGGGGGATAGCTGGCTAGGCTATATCTACCTTAGGTACTGAAGTTTCCTATTTAATTTATATTCCCTTAGAGGAACTACCAAGGGTCGCACTACAATATATATATATAACACTTTAGGTTAACAACGATATAAATAAATATTTATTAAGCAATTGAAATATTAAATGGATAATACAACCTGCTGGACACCTAGAGATGTTATAATCCAACAGGGAGCTGACGGCGACACACACACACACTATAATATACGGAGTAGCAAGTTAATTTAATTATTAGGCAAAAGTAGTGATCGCGAAGATGGTAAAATGTCAACTGTCGTAGGGATATCTTATTATGGCACATTGGCCGTGAATTGCAAAAAGTGTTTATGTGTGCAGTCCGCCCTCCTGTTAGTATTGTTGTATGTCACTGTGTTAATTATATATATATATATATGTCTATTAAACGGTACAACGATGTTATGGGAGACAGAGATATGGGCACATGCAAATGTGATCGTATCAATGGGAACCTGATAAAAATCAAACCTCGTCGATTACACATCGTTCGGGTTATTTTTTCAAACGACCGATGTAAAAATAGGCCTACGCTTTTACTACACGACATATCGCGCATTACTTAACACTGGTAGCGCTTATCGATTTACGACCCGTAAAGTTCGAGTCTGTTATAATTTTTTCTTCGGAAAACCCTAAACTTCAGAGAGCTTCGGAGCGCTTAATGTTACATAAAATAGAACGTTTTGTGTAAACAAAACATTGTATTTTTTTTATTAAACTAAATCTAATGGTGTGAAAAAAAAAATAGCATTGCCGTTTTGAAAACATGAAGTCGACACTAGTTCTAAACGTAAGGGATGATGGCAGAAATTTAAATTTTCTCGTAAAACACCTCATCAAAGATCCGTAACGATTAAGAAAAAAAAAAATTGTTTATAACACTTGCATTTTTAAAGATATTACGTGAGACATAGTTAGTCGATGACCCTCTATATAATTTTGTTTTTAATTTTTCATTAAAACTTCATACATTTTTTTTTTGAATCTATGATATCTCGAATTTCCAGTTATGAAAAAAATCCATCTATCTATAATAGAGATGTTTAGATAAATAATCTACGATTGAATCATAGACTATTATTATTGTTATATTACTATAATTATTATTTTTGATTATAATATTACAAGGCGTAACCCAACACCCAATTTAACCGTAATAGAATACGTTTTTTTACGTTCGTCCATCGCGTATCTTACAGGGGGGGGTGATCCGACTCGATTTTTTTAAAACGGAAACCGTCACGTTTAACCCCCTCTAGCTTATACTCATAGCCAAAACGATCCGATCGATAAGACGACGACGACTTTCGAACAGGTAGCGTCGTACCTTTAAATCGATAGATTTAAAGTAACCCCGCCGGAGATGATCAGCAGTGGGTGCTACTATTTTTCAACATTTGAACGTTTCTAGAGGACACTCCATTTCCCGCCGCCGACTAGGTGTATAAAAAAAAAAGTTAACAACTTTTTAATAACCGGTCCAAAAGTCGCACGCGACCGCCGGTCGTTTTCTTTGATCGGATTTCGTTTACTATTGCACGAGACGGCGGCAACGATACAGAAGTACGTTTCCATTTCGAAAAAATCAAGTGGACACTGCTGTTTGATTTTATAAAAACTGAAGGACAGAAACGGATAAACGACACGTTCGGGCGTAACTAAGAAAAGCCAAAACAGCCGAAAAAAAAACACAAAAAAAATTATTATTTCAAGAGAACTAGATGAGAGCGTCTAGTGTTTTCAAAGAATCACCGATTATTATCGTTGTTGTTGTTATTATTACAGTACACGAGTATTTAACAAAAATGTACTCTGTATTATTTATTTAGAAAAAAGCATTTAACAAAAGTATTCAGCGGTCTCTATCGAAAATAACGCCAGACACCAGCGTTATTATACAGAACACAACAGCGTGTACGCGTGATAAATTTTTATAACACATAGAAAAACGCATATGGCTTTGCTTTGAACGTCATTTCGTACACATATATGAATATTTACACGTCAATATAAAATATGCACATCATACAGTCTACTAGTGAGAAATAAAAAAACGCGTGCTAAAAAAAAAAAATCGTTGACAGGTCGAGAGACTGGACAGTTTCCACATCAGTCACTGCCGCCGCCGCCGTCGTCTTCTCGATGATAATTTCTTCTTTTCAGCGTTTTAGGTTCGATTCGTTCACGGCCGACAGCCTCGTCCTCTCGGCGGCTTCCGACGACACGAGCGATTTCAGCGTCTAAAACAAAACCAAAAGCGTAAATACAACATCGAACACCGATAAAAAACACGACCGGATCGTTTGCAGCCGGCATTTTTTCGTTTTTCTCGATTGTACTAACCGTCGCCATCGCCGCCGCTGCCACCGCCGGTGAGCGCGTCTGATCTGCAACGGGAACTTTCGTCCTTTTCCACGTGACGACAATCGGATTCCGGCGGCGAGTTTTCGTCGTTTTTAGCATCGGGTGGTGGTGGTGGTGTCCAAACGGGCGGACGGTTCCTTTCGGCACAACTCGCGTCTTCCGAGCGGTCGTTTTTAGGTTCGGGCAACACGAGCGACGTTGAGTTTCGTTGCACTACTACTACGCCGTCGCCATCGTCGTCGTCCGGGTTCTTGGAGTAGTCGTCGTCGTCGTCCGGGATCATGGAGTAGTCGTCGTCGAACGCCGCAAAGAGTCGGTCGGCGGCCGTCGGACCGCCGCTCTCGGCCCGCCGCCGTCCGCCCAACACCAACGCCAACGGATCGTCCACGCCGAGAAGGCGGCAGAACGCCTCGGTTTGTGGATTGGTCGTCGCGGCCGCCGCAGCACCAACGCCGACGCCCCGGCGGTACGCGTCGTTGGAAACGAAATTTTCGGGTATCGCAAGACTGCCGTCGTCGAACAGACCGAGCACTGCGCTCCGCTCTTGCGGCGACGGACTAAAGTCGTACCTGGAAAAATAATAATACCAATAATGACCGAGTTTTCTGTCGGTTTAATTCAATTAAAAAAAAAAAAAAAAAACAAATCTATCACAACCGTTGGATTTGTATTTGTATTTTTTTTTTTTTATCATAATTTTGTTTTGGCATCGCGCGTTTACCTCTCGCCGTCAAACGACGACGGACCTCCCGCCGCCGCTCCTCCGCCGGACGGCAGATAGTAAACGTTGCTGTTGACGTTCAACAGGCCGTTGGTGCTCCTCAGCACGGCCAACCACTCGGCGTCGTACTGCAACCGGATCGGCCCGGACGCATCGTGGGCGATGTCCAGCACTTGCAGGAAACGTCTTCCCGGCAAACACTTGTCCAACGACAGGAATTTCGTTTGTTTTCGCATTTGGTCGTCCTGTAAAAAAAAAACGTACGATTATTATAAACTATTAACTACAACAACTACAACTACAACAACAACAGAGTCGTATCCCCAAACGTTTTGCTACGATTGAATTGCACGCGCTTTCTTGTCATGTCCGTGAAACAAAACGATTCATCTTCTGGAAATATAAACGACGCAGAAAGGTTTTTTTATCGCGTTAAAAAATAATATAAACGCCGTGTCGAATAACACGTGATAATATTAAACGCGTACGATTTACATTTTGATTCAGGATTTTCGAGCGACAAATTTTATTTAATTGCCAGATCACAAAATCCAGCATAAAAAGAGTAAAAAAAAACTATACCCGCTTTTTTAGTTTAGTAACAATCGAGGGGACCGCCGAGTTTTAGTCATTAAATTCCCCCCCGCCCATTAAAAAATAGTTCAAGCGCCCCCGAACGCGTTTAAAAGTTTTATTAGATAATAATGTCTTTGCAATTACATCGGACGAGTGATCGACGACGGCGGCATATTTACAATGGAGATGGGCGGAAAACCAATAAGTGGGCCTGAGAATGTTTAGTAGTTCTCTAGCTGGTGGATTTCCCAACTTTCCTTCATCGATATCGTTTCTAAAAAATAAATAAATATAAATATTATTATAACATTATGTTCAATAATAATATTTATATTATAATATATAATATTAATAATATTATAATATTCAAATAACAATGTGGCTCAAAAAAAATCGATCTTCGAAATGTTTATGAGATACCTCATAAATGTATTATATACATTAAAATAAACATTTTATGAAAATTTGAGATTAAAAAAAAAATTTTTACAGGTCGCTCAACGCGTTTTAAGAAAATTGACCAAAAATACTCAAAAAAACATAAAATGTCATTATTTATTCAATTTTTGTTCAAATTTCTTACTTAGTACATCTAAATTGTTCGTTTTTTAATGCCGAATAATAATAATTAGAAAAAAAAATTGTAAGTCCAAAATTGATTGCGTAAAGTTCATAAAAAGCTCAAAAATATGGTTAAGTTCAACGAACTGTTAAGTAAACCAAAAAATTTTTTTTTTTCATTTTTTTTTTTTAATTTGATTAATATTTGTGTGTATTTTAAGAGGAAAAAATTTTTTCCACTAATGTTTAAAACTACTACCTTTTTTTTTAGATTAGAACGTACGCTAGAATATACGATGTACATAAAAATAAATGAAAATATCGTCAAATTTTACTGTTTCCTTTTTACATTTTTTTATTTTAAAATTTGGCATTAGCTATATATACATACATATATATTTATAATTATAAAAATAAAAATAATTTTTTTTTTTTTGTCACCAATGTTGATTTTTTACAATCGGGGTACTCATTCTAGACAGAATAAACGTATCTAGCCGAAAAGCCACGTATATATTGGCGTCTGCTTTAACTTAGTGTGATAAAAATATTAATGATTATTCGATAAGTAAAGATTGAATTCAAAGAGCTCGTAATTTTAATAGAAAAATTATAAATAATGAAATAATAAAATAATTCAAACCAAACACCGCTTTAATGGTGCACTGGGAAGGAAAAATGTTACCGTCTTACAACAAAAAAAATTACACTGAACGTTTAGCGGTATTAGTATCTGGTGATGGCAAAACTAAACTTTTGGGAGTGCCTAAACTTTTAAATTCTACAGGCAAATCGCAAGCTGATGCCGTTATTANAGCCAATCGCAAATAGTGCATGTATTTTAATCGAAAAAAAATTAGGTAAGGAATTATTGAGTTTTGCTTGTAGGCACCATATACATGAAATAATAATTAGGAGAGTTTTTGATAAATTAATGCCTCCATCATCTGGCCCAGACATAGCTCTATTCTAANACTGGCCCAAACATAGCTCTAATCAAACGTTTTTCTAATAGCTGAAAATATAGACAAAAAACTATACTTTAATATGTTGACAGATGATGTTGTGTTAAAGATATTAGCACCAAATATAGACATAATTTCTAAATTTGTGAACAAAAATTAAATTTAAATCATCCTTGGGATGATTTAAACTCAATAATTCCTTACCTAATTTTTTTAAAATACAGTGTAATTTTTTTTGTTGTAAGACGGCAACATTTTTCCTTCCCAGTGTACCATTAAAGCGGTGTTTGGTTTGAATTATTTTATTATTTATAATTTTTCTATTTTTTTTTCTAATTATTATTATTCGGCATTAAAAAACGAACAATTTAGATGTACTAAGTAAGAAATTTGAACAAAAATTGAATAAATAATGACATTTTATGTTTTTTTGAGTATTTTTGGTCAATTTTCTTAAAACGCGTTGAGCGACCTGTAAAAATTTTTTTTTTAATCTCAAATTTTCATAAAATGTTTATTTTAATGTATATAATACATTTATGAGGTATCTCATAAACATTTCGAAGATCGATTTTTTTTGAGCCACCCTCATATATATACTGGCGTTTAACTGATGTTATTTGATTATTTCAACATATTACAATGTATCGATGAAATAATTATAATTGATTTTATTAACTACATTAATGATAATAATTTTCATAATAATTATTAATTACAATTAATAATAAAAATAAATCGGCTCCTTTTTAATGCATCTGGGAGGGTTTAACCCAAATTAAATACACTCAAATTAAAAAAAAAAAATTTTTTTTGGTTTACTCGAGTGTTTGTAGAACTTAACCATATTTTTGAGCTTTTCACGGACTTTACGCAATCAATTTTGGACTTGCAAATTTTTTTTTCTAATTATTATTGTTCGGCATTAAGAAACGAACAATTTAGATGTAATAAGTAAGAAATTTGAACAAAGTTGAATAAATAATGACATTTTATGTTTTTTTTTGGGTATTTTCTTAAAACCCGTTGAGCGACCTGTACAACATTTTTTTTTAAATCTCAAATTTTCATAAAATGTTTATTTTAATGTATATAATACATTTATGAGGTATCTCATAAACATTTCGAAGATCGATTTTTTTTGAGCCACCCTCATATATATACTGGCGTTTAACTGATGTTATTTGATTATTTCAACATATTACAATGTATCGATGAAATAATTATAATTGATTTTATTAACTACATTAATGATAATAATTTTCATAATAATTATTAATTACAATTAATAATAAAAATAAATCGGCTCCTTTTTAATGCATCTGGGAGGGTTTAACCCAAATTAAATACACTCAAATTAAAAAAAAAAAATTTTTTTTGGTTTACTCGAGTGTTTGTAGAACTTAACCATATTTTTGAGCTTTTCACGGACTTTACGCAATCAATTTTGGACTTGCAAATTTTTTTTTCTAATTATTATTGTTCGGCATTAAGAAACGAACAATTTAGATGTAATAAGTAAGAAATTTGAACAAAGTTGAATAAATAATGACATTTTATGTTTTTTTTGGGTATTTTCTTAAAACCCGTTGAGCGACCTGTACAACATTTTTTTTTAAATCTCAAATTTTCATAAAATGTTTATTTTAATGTATATAAAAAATTTATGAGGTATTTCATAAACATTTCGATCGATTTTTTTTGCGCCACCCTAATATATATAAACTATGCTCCGCCCCAGACCTGGAGCCCTACGAACCTTACGCACCTTCGCTACGCCGAGCACGATAAGTGCAGAAAAAATATTACATCAGAATCAGCGTAACAAAAATATATTAAAAATGTTATTATTAAAATCAGGAATATTCAAAAAGAGAATATAGTAAAATGTATTGGGTATAAGGTTGACGTTTGTTAATGAGGTATTCCCTTTAGGCCTATTCAAATATTATTTTAGGAGAGTATTTAATATTTTTTACTTTGTTAAACATGTTATAGAATTTTTTTGCTAAAACTTAAAGTAATGATGAAAAAAATGGACATTAGGTCCTTATTTATTAGAAGTTGCCTAAAAAAATATTGATAGTGCTAGTTGAAGGGGGGTCCGTATCTCCCTTAAATACACCCCTGATATACACAAAAATTATAAATATTCTAATTATAATAATTGTGTTTATATTATAGAATAATTAAAAAAAATTCAGCAGGTTATTATACATGGGACTATGTAAAAATTGAATTTTGATAAAAATATTGGTAACTGCGATGTAACGTTGGACAGCATAGTTGTCATAGATGAATCCCAATTAAAACGATAAACTCACAGACACATACATCATTTATGAGAAAAAAAGATTATTAATAATGTACTGTTCTGATAATGAAAGTACAAACTTATATAATTATAACCCTTTTGAAATTTATATATAACATATAATATTCCTCGATAAAATATAGTGCCATGTGCAAATGGAAAATAGTGTCCTAATAAAAATACATATTTACCATATAGTTAAGGTTCATAATAAACGTATGAGCAGAAATGAATCACTGCGCATAATAAAATCATGATTTCAAAATCAAAATAAAAAAAAAGCTCGTAAAACTGTGAAAAACGAACGGATTGAATTGATTTTTTTAACATATCTCAGTAATGTCATTGGGCGGGTCTGATGAAAATTTCAAACCGTCAGCAAGCGTTTTTCTCGAAAACGGTCGAAAAAAAAAAAATTTGAAAATTTGAAAATCCGAGCACGCTAAATAATTTTCCCAGAAAAGCGTATTCTTCCTTATTCTATTATATAATAAGATATATATATATATGTATGTATGTATATATTATATTATATATGTATACACATAATGAATGCGTGTATGTATATATAAATTTAATTATTATAAATGAACATTTACATGATGTTTCTGTTTAATAGCGGACATAATATATTTACCGTTACACTGAAAACAATAGGCTTTATACACATATCGTGTGCAATAAGCATATCCGATAAATTTTAATCGATGCACACTCGTGAAAACAAGTAATGCTACGACGTCGTAACGTTTTAATCTTAGTATAAAAAAAAATACATGTTTCAATTGTATTACCACCACCCTGCCTGTTGTATGTGAAAATTGTTTTAATCGCGTTTCAACTCACTGGAAAAAAGGTTTGAACCTGAGCAGTTGCCCGAGATCGCCGTGTTGTTCGATTCCTTGCGGCCAATCGTGCGACAGCATCACGTCGACGGGTTCTCGGAGCTAAAAAAGGAACAAGATATTGAAAATCAAAAAAAAAAAAGTACTTAGAGTTATATACAAGCAAAACGAAAATATAAAACGTCGTGTTCCTTGTCGTGCTTTTTGGAAGAAATTTTCTAGTAAAACGTGTTTTACTTGAAACACCGAGGAGGGATGATTTTCATTCTTTATAAGCATAATTTAAAAAAAATCAAATAAACGTTGTGTGTTTTGTAACGATACTAGTGTAAATATAAATAATAATACGACCAGACAATAAGATGTTCAGGGGATGGCGCCTTGGAGTATGAATGATAAATGCACACAAAANATACGACGAGACAATAAGATGTTCAGGGGATGGCGCCTTGGAGTATGAATGATAAATGCACACAAAATATTCATACAGTGCCGTACCGTCATTGGCGCAATAATATATTCGGTATATATATATATATATATATTAGGGTGGTCTTTATTTATATGGGTAGACATATTTTTTACACTGTACCCTTTAGGCATCGGTTCAGTCGTACGAGAGAAAATAAAGTAGACAAAATTTCGAACGTTTCACTCGACCCCACATATATGATATACAATAATCATGTTCATTTAACGATAACGCAAAGCGTTTGTAAAAATACACATTGATTGTGCCCACGACTTTATAATGTTTGAATAGATAATGGATCCGGCTTATAATTACAGAGTATTCAAACAAACCACCCTCAATAGTCATATTACAATTCCGATTCGGCGGCACCAGAAGGCATCGAGTAAATCCTTCCAGATTTTACTTTCTCGTACGACCGAACCAATATAGAGGGGTACTGTAAAAAAAAAAAAAAAACAATAATTTGAATAGTTTACGGACCAAAATATATATTACAAAGTATATAAAATTAATATATAACTAACTGTTTTATATTAATATATAAATATATATATATTTGGCACATTTATCGTATTCTCTATTTAATATGTTTTTAAACAGAAGACGGCTTTGCAAAAAATATATATTTACATTTTTTTGGCACCCTACACCCAGAGAAAAACCTCGATCTGTATAATAAATTCATTGTTCAATTTGATAAATATATCATTACTATTGAACCTATGATATATTTATCAATATGATAATTGTTTTTCTTGTCTTGAACAATAATTATTCATAAGAATAGTTATTTTGTTCGTATTAATAAAACATTATCATAAACCCTTGATAAAATTTCTCTATCAAAATTGATTGAGGTTTTTCTTTGGGTTTAAGGCACTCGCCCCCCCCTTCCACTTTGCACGCATAACTAACACACACACACACTGACATCGATGGAAAAAGAACGCCTATACGTCAGCACTTGAGGTAGGAAAGCTTCGGTTTTTTTTTAAAGACGAATAAACTCTGCACGACGCGTAACATACCGTCGCAACGCACTTTTACGCGCGTTCCTTACCTGCTTTAGCCGGAACACGTCCAGCTGCCTGACGTGGTAGACGCTCCGCTTGGTCCGCTCGTCGTACGGCGGCCGCTCGTGCCGGCCGCGCGCGTAGTCGCCGCCCTTGTAGATGCCCGACAGGCCGGCGATCCGCACGCCCCCGACGTTGACCACTCCCGCGGTGCCCAGGTAGTATATGCCGGGAGCGGCCCAGCCGCCGTAGCTCAGCTCCTGCAGGTGCGCCGACGCCTCGTGGTTGCCGCCGATGAACAGCGTGAGGACCGGGGCGACCAGCTCGCCGGTGTAGTACCTGCGAAACGCGGACGACAATTACAACAGTTTATACAATTAACCCTTCATTAGGTAGGTGAAAAAATGTTATGTTAACAGATAACATGGGTATGATAGACCCATATAATTAAATCGATTTTACTTTTGTATGGTAAAACTTTATTTCTTCAAATGGGAATAACAACTACATAGACATACTTAGAAATATATTTTAACAATTACGAAACAAAAAAAGAAAAGATTTAGGTCTTATAGACCCGACCTACCTAATGAAGGGTTAACAATTACAATAACGCGCACAAACAATCACGCACGAACACTCACACGTCATTTAGCGGTCGCGTCTTTGTTACACTCGTTCCACTCCTTACAAAGCTCCGCTCGGTCCACTCGTTACAATCACTCCTCTCCGCCCAATTCACTCCGCTCTACTCACTTGTAAAACGATCCCATGCGCCTGTACTTCGGGGGCACGGCCATCGACTCCATGTCGCGGGCGTCCCGGGCCGCCTGGAAGTCCCCGCAGCAAACTAGCAGATCGGTCCGGACGCCTGTCCTACGCTCGACTTCGGCCAGTGTGCCGTACACGCGCTCCAGTTCGCCGTGCGCGCATCCCTGCACGGCGATCCTCATGGCGGCGGCGGTGTTGGTGGTGGTGGTGATGCCGTCGCCGCCGCCGGTGGTCTCGATCGCACAGCCGACACTGGATTACTACTCGCGATCACGACAACGACGACCGCCGCGATTTCGTCTCGCGGTGCGTGTGTGTATTCGCGCACGTACGTACACGGTGAGCGATACGTCGTACGCGTGTCACTGCGGCGATACGGTCCGGCAAACGTAAGACAAACTACGCGAATTCGTTTGTTGTGTCGCGCACAAACTGCGAGTCTGGAGAAAAGCGAGAAATTCCGTACGATCGTATCGTGCCGGTGAACAGCACGATAGAGACTATCAAACGAGCGCCGTCGTGATAAACTCGATAACGGGTGCGGGTCAAAACGATTTCGACAACAAACCGCGTTGGCTACCACGTTACTACGTAGGCAACCGCGTTACCGAATGCGGTTTCACCATCAACCGCGGTCGATATCGACGACCGTCTCGTTTCCGCGTTATCGAGTGTTACGACGACGACGGCGATAACACTTTTTCTGATATCATCGCAACACGGACGTGTTACAATGAGCGACGCGTTTTACGTTTGTCGTTTATCCATTTATCCATTAACGAGCCAATTATAAATATTATAATTTTATTAATATTAACACTTTATCATAGATACATACATGTATATTAATATTGAATTATATAAATATAAATACGTGTGTACGTTTTATACGCGTACGCGCGTTTACGGTCGGGTGACGCCATTTCATACCGCGCGATACGGCCTCGAGGGCACGGGATCGGCGTTTTAAAAAGTTTCATTTTTCTCCAAATACCGTATTTACCCGTATCGTAACCCACCGGATCAATTGTTTAAACATTTTTTAAAACGGTAAAGTAATGTTTGACGCACACACATACTTATGTGTAATAATGGTTATATACAGTGGCGTATTTAGAAGGGGGCACATGCCCCTCCCCATTGATTGAATGCTGTAAATATTTTATCAAGCTTTGTAATAATGTATAATATTAGAAAAAGTTTTTTTTTGATTATCGATAATAACATAGGCTTATTAAAAGTTGGTCGATATATTTGTCTTATGGATCAAAATTTGACAACCGCACAGTTGTCCCGATAATGTCATCTCCTATTTTTGATGTGTTTATCGCGTAGTGATGCACACTTATTAAATAAGAAATATTTTTATTGATAAACATTTAATATATAAAAAATATGTGTAAACAAAAGTTAGGAGCAATAAAGAAAGTCGTTTTATGGTACTTATTCATGAACATTTCTTGTAGCCCTCCCCCCCACCATTGTAAATTTCTAAGTACGTCATTGTTTATATGTATATAACAGTATAATATAACGTAATACAATCGTAAAACATTGAGTTTTTGCGTACAGTTAATATGTAATAGTCTTTAATAAAAAACACCTCTAAACCATTTGTGCGTTTTTTTTTCGAGTAGACGTTCGAAAAGAAAATTCAACACGGTTAGCGATATATGAAACCCTAGACGCTACAGAGCGCGCATCAAATGCCGCGCTCCTATTGGTCGACTTTTAATAGATTTATACAATCTATTTTAACACAATCTGTTTTCATCAAACTTTAGATGTATACTTCTAAATTACTTCTAAATTAAACGTTATAATTTCAATGCAAAAATGATTAATTGTATAATTGATGGAATCAATAATATTAATAAGGATTTGCATTGCAAATTAGTAGAAAGTAAAAAAAATAATGTATCAGTGATACGATGCAATTTAAACAATGAAGAGGACGTTGACATTTTTTTTTGCATATTTAAAGAAATAACTGCTACGAGTTGGATTGTTCAGGGGCAATTAAAAAATCCCGATAGGTGAGTGAAATATATTAATGTATAGCGTAATTTTTAAGCATACTAATTGTAGTATTTAATAGAGTCGTGTATCATAAATATTGGTTGTGCCAACACAGCCAAAGAAATAAGGTATACAAGAAAAATTTAGACGAATTAACTCCACGTAATACATTGTGTGAGGCTAAAATTGATATTTTAATTAAAAAAAATAACAGAAATACGAGAAAAAATGATGATTATCTAAAGCAAAATCCTCCTTTATGTGGACAAATTACTCTAAGCAATGAACATAATCATACAATCAATACAAGTGGTTCATTGAAATATTTACGTATTAATCCAGAAGTAAGCATACAGTACAAAATTAAAAAAATATTTAATCATAATAGTAAATTAGTAACATAGTAAATTTAGCTTGCATATTAAAATATTATACACATATGTTAAATCTAAAAGTATTCATAAAATATTTTATTACTTATTACCAATAATTTTCCATTGTTTTGATTCTTATTTTGTCAGGAATAAAATATTGTAACAACGTTATTCATTATATAAATATTATATAAATTTCCTAAAATTAATATAAAAATTGTGTTTTAAATCAATTAAACATTATATCAATTTAGTGGTTTGAATCAAAAGTAAATAATATTTTCAATTGTTGAAATTTAATAAAAATAAAAGGTATGGCTTTTTGCTAAATTTTGTAGGTTTAATGTAAAAAATAAATATAGGTGATACAGAATTTCCAGTATTATAGCAGATTTTATCAATCTCTGAGTTATACACAATTTTTTTCTATTTTATAGTTTATAAATGCCTAAATACTTAAAACTTCTTTTGGTGGGTGGGTGTCAAAACCAAGATAGGTCATTGAGAATGAATATATATTAGAAGTTGCTGAGGCGGGTCATAATAATACAAAAAAGACAATTTAAAACCCTGAAAAGAGGTTGTTTAACTTATAAAATCCTTGGAAGCATAAGTGTTAAACAAATATTAAGTACTTTAAATCTGAAATACGCAATTGTCTCGCTGACTGTCAACAATATTTTCTTAACTTAGTAAAAGAGTTACTGTTGGAAAGTAGTATGGTATCATATACAATTAAGTAGTGAAGTATTTACAATTAAGTATTACTTTTTTAAATATTCACAATTAAGTAGTTAATTATTATATACAATTAAGGTGTATATCTAATGTGTGATAAAAATCTCATGTTGATAACATTCTATCGTGTGATAAAAGTCGACCAATAGGAGCGCGGCATTTGATGCGCGCTCTGTAGCGTCTAGGGTTTCATATATCGCACACGGTTACACTGTACTCGATCACACATATTCAATCGCTGTGTGTGCGAGTCGGTAGGTGAGTTGGTTGGGTGGAAGGCGGGAAGGCAGGCAACCGCTATCCGACGTAATCCGGTACAATAATATTCAACCCACTCCGGAAAGTTATCGGTCGTTCCAGTTTACATCCGACATTACAACAATTCATATATATATAACAGAACCAAACAAATTACGAGCAATATATTATAAATTATGAATATACAAAAAGATTACATATATAAATATCGCTCTCTGTCTCCCACTGTATTTACTGTTTCAGTACAGTGGAGGATATTTTATTAGTGTTTCATACGTAACATCACTAAGCTGTTATATAGTTGTTTAAGATTAATACAAATTAAGTACAAAGGAAATTTACATGCGATATCATTTTGACTTGGTACGAATGTAACATACATACTACGTTCCTTCGAAATATTACACTTTATGTATTATGATAAACGTAAATTGCTAAGAAATTTAATTTTAGAAATGTATTAAAAAACAAAATATTTTGTCATACGACGCTGTAATTGCCTATCAATACGTGGAAAATCCAAAAACTCCATGTGACGTATGCCTTTATCTTTTATTTTAAGGGATCGGCCACAAACGACCAACAACTCTGTAGTAGTCGCGATGTTGTTATGTACAATCTCGTAATTGTATGTGTTAGACAGTATACTTGTTTAATTATTATTAAGTGTTTAATTATAATTATTATTTTTTCTTATATTTTTTAATAATGGTTGAAGAAAAAAAAAATGTAAGTTATACAATGTTAACACTTGATAAAATACTGCATCCACACTTAATAACATTGTCATATAAGCACACTCAGTAGTGTAAAATTTTAAGGATTGCATCTAATTAATTAATTTGGCAGGTGGTCAGAGTTTTTTAAAGACTTACAAATACCAACTTTAAATTTTATGATGTGACATAAATGTGAAGTTTTAAAAATTTATTTATTAAAACTTACTAAAATTTATAAACGTATTTAAAGAAACAATTAATGGTTTTTTAAATTTATTTAATCAATAATATTTACAATTAGTGTCCGATGTACACTTAAGATATTGAACTAACGAATTATAAAATATTTATGTAGGATTCCTCCTTAAATGGCTTATTGTGCTGTTCACCGACCAAAATGAGTATAGTGTTGTATCAACGAATTGGTCAGAAAAAATTAATTGACTCTAGTAAATAATTGGTATTGGCCTCCAGGGCACTGTTAACAGTGACATGTTATACAAAAAGCAGATGAGCCGGTGTTAACCTGGAAAATGTATAGAGTAAAAGTTTATGGTGGAAATAAAACTTTTGGTAAGAATTATTACATATTTATATAATGTGTAGTGATTATTTTTAGCTCATCTATATGCCAACTACTTTTTTATTAATAGTTTATATATATAACTATTTTACAGATAATTTTAATAGAGCATGGCATCAACAAGTTAATATTGTGGATTCGTCAACTAATGAAACAGGCAATGAAGAAATTATGATTCCAAGACATAAACAAAAAGGAAAGCTTGTCTCACAAAATGTGTTGTTTAATGTAACTGATAAAAGTGACAACGACAATGGTAATTTTTAAATTAATATAACTTTAACAATATAGTCAAACCAAAAATATAATGCGTGTATTATTTTTTTTTAAGTACATATTTTATGTATAATTCTATGATATTCCTATAAACTATATAATTATAAGTATAACATAACAATATAACTTTTTAATTCAATTAATTAGTTTGTTTAGATAATAGTTATAATATAATGGCTCAGTCATCATCCGCCACATTGAATATTGTCAAAACCTTTGTTTGTAAAATCATATAGTAGTACTCTAATAGTTTCAAGTTTAGAATGTCTTATTTACCAAACCAATCAATATCTTTGGCCACACATACATCAGTTGAACTTGCAGCATCTTGTAATTGGTCTTCTTCATTAACTGAAAATGACAACCATCAACAACTCTCCGAGTCAATGCCTACAGAATCCACAGATATTTGTTCTACAACGGACTTCTAATTAAAGGTATATTAAGTGGCCAAAAATTAATTATCGTAAGGTAAAAATTTAAAGTTTTATGTGTGAATCCAAAGAAAGAATAATTTTTGAATTTTGATTACACTTTTATATTCATATTTTAATTAATAGTCATCATACACAATGAACGCTTTAAATCAGTGTGTTCTCCGACAAAAGAATTATGGTAATATTTATTTAATATTACATATTATATATATAAATAAATAGAATAGAATATAATAGGTATGCAATTATTTTCTTTGAATAAATGCATAACAAATAGTTAAATTTTTTTATTGATCTACATGCAATTTATGGAGAAGGCTTACCTATCTTGTAATATCTTGTACCTTATGGTGCTTTTATAAAAATACATTTTGGTTAGGCATGAATACATTGAGGTTATTAAAAAATAATACTTTTATTATTATTTTTATTTTAGAATTATTTGTGATTGTAAAAATAACAAACCACCTTGTTTGTAAAATACATTTTTCATATTAGCTTATATTTTTTTTGTGTATACTTCTACAGATCCAACAATGAACATGATGATGTTAAATAGAATATTATCAAAAGTAGAAAACATTGAAAAAATGTTGTCTAAACATAAAAATGAAAATAAAAATGTTCTGTTAGACAATAAATTTTTAACAAAAGTCTCCATTGATAATGTTGAAGGATTTTTATTGGTTGAAAGTTGCATTAGTAATGAAATTGATTTTGTTTCAAAATTGGTAATTAGAACTTTGGTTAAACACGAGTAAAAAAAGTTTTAACGGCTAAATCTAGTCAACATTTTCACAAAAAATTAATATATATTTCATAGTTTTTACAAAATTAAACCTAAATTTCAGTTTTTGCTGTAGAAATATTTTATGAGTGACAATATAATTTTTTATATGTGTTTATGTTTTTTTTTTATACATTTATAATTACAGTTTCAAAATAATATTTAGAAAAAAATTTTATTTATATTTAATAAGTGCCATTTTTATTTCTTTATTTAGATTGATACATTATCTTTTTCTTCTTCTTAATTCCCAGATCAAAATTTATTCATTTATGTTTGCGGTTACATTATGAAAAAAATGTTCAATTCAACATTCTTGTGATATATGTGTAGAATATGCTAAAATTCAAAATAAATTAGATAATTAATTTTTATTATGTTATTTTAAAGCTTATAAAAACCAAGAAAAATCATTATTCAGAAATTTACAAATGCCTCATAAAGATTTTTATAATTACTTGTATAAATTAGAATCCATTTTTATAGAAAGTTTTCCTATTTTATCTGTTGAAAAAGGAGTTGATGATAATCTTAAATTCCAAATGCTAAATAATATCTATAAATATCCATGTACAAATTTGAACAATGATTATCTTATAAAATTTTTTATTCGTTTTAGGATGTATTCTACAATAAAATTTCTAAACAGACATTTAGTATCCGATAAAGACTTAAAAAAAGAAAATTAGCAATTCTCTTGCATATGTAAATTAACTTTTTTTCATAAACACATACATTTTTTTAATTCATAATTAGTTTAAAATTTTTTTATTATTAAATTTTAAATTAAATTATTTTTCTAGTTGTACTGAGTGGATTTCTTAACATTGAGGACTATTTTGTTGGAAAATTTAGTGATACAGTGCATAATAATAATGTTAACATAATTTTTTTTATTTTGTATTGATGTATTTTTTTTTTACCAATATATATTTTTAATTTTTTATTAATCATATTTATTTTTTTATTCAATAAAATATTAAATAAAATTTATTGTTCAAAATAATATACAATACCTTATTTGAACTTATACAATTTACTATAGAGAACGAATAAATAATGTGTATTTGACTTGATTGATAAATAATAACAGCAAGTACATACTAAAAAGTTAAAATTTAATTTAGATTGTCCATCATAATGACATCCAAGCGCACTTACTAAAAATTACAGCTTCATATGTTATAAATAAAAGTAACTAAATGTTGACAAAAATTCAATGAAAAAATAATAAACTTTACACAAAAATCTCATTATCGAAGTAGTTAAGGATAAAAGTTTTAAAATTTCCAAACTTGCACTTAATAACTATCTACCTAAAACGTGTTTATTTTAAGTTTGAAATACCACTGTTCGTGTAACACGAATTTCAAAATTCATTTAAAGATAGCAATAATACATTTAATTTATTAAACCTTCATAATTTGAAGAGTAAAAATAAATATAATAATCTTAACATTTAATTTAATAAAATTTTGAAATTCAACCTCATAGCAGCTACATTAATTATAAATTATAATAAAAGTTTAAGTAAATTTAATACTTTAAAATTTTTATTTGCAGTAGGCAGTAAATAGAACAATCAAAATGATTTAAATCAAACTTGTTAAATAAAAATATTTTTGTATAAATTTGGTACTTTTCTTGATTTTTTCCTGCAAAGTCTTCTATAATTTCATCAAATGATAAAAAATTCAGTACATCATTTTCAATACTCATAATAGATAAAAAGTGTAATCGCTCTTCGTGCATTAGAGTCCTTAATCTATTTTGGATGATCTTCGACCTTGAAAAAGAGCGTTCACCACTACGATTAGTTAACATTATTTATTTATTTATGTATAATATACGGGTGTTAACCCTTTAACAATTAGAATATTTATAAGTACAGTAAAAATCAATAATAACATAAACAGTTACAAAAAAAGAAAAAATAATGACATGTTTGTAGTGAATAAAAAATATAATAAAATATAAAAATAATAAATTATACAAGAGAATTTGAATTTAAATTTAAAGCCAAATAAACATTCTGTCTGAATACAAAACGCGACATAGAAAAAAAATCGATATGATCCATAATTCTGTTAGCCAAAGATAGAGCTCTTGGGAAAAACGAGGAGGAAGTATAAATATTTTTAGGAAGAGAAATATGAAAAAAATTAGATTTTCTTAATACGTGAGTATGTACATTAAAACCAATGTGAGATAATAATTCTGGAGAATAAATAAGACCATTTAATAAGTCATATAGGAACATTATATCCGCAACATTTCTCCTCAAATCACAAGACACGATCCCCAATTGGGAAATCTGCAACTTGTATGATTCTCTTGAGATGGGTATATTTAATTTAAAACATAATAATTTTAAAAACTTATACTGAACATTTTCAATTCGACTGGTACATGATATATAGTGTGGTGACCAAACAATTGATCCATACTCAAGATGAGATCTAACCAAGGAAAAATATAAAGTTTTTAAGGCATTAATATTTTTAAAATTTATCGTGCTTCTATTAATAAAACCAAGCATCTTAAAAGCTTTTTTAATAAAGGTGTTAATATGGGTGGAAAAATCCAAATTAAAATTTAAGATTATCCCTAAGTCTCTGATAGAGGCAACTCTTGTAACTATATTACTATCAATCAAATAATTATAGGTATTTATATTATTTATTCGGGAAAACGTAATCACACTACACTTATTTATATTTAATGGAAGGTGATTAACACGACTCCATTCAACAAATTTATCTAAATTTGACTGCAATTTTATTACATCTTTTGGTGATTTAATAACTGAAAATAATTTCACATCATCAGCAAATAATAGAATATTAACTGAGCTATCAAAAATAGATGGTAAATCATTTATAAATAGTATGAATAAGAGGGGACCTAAGTGCGACCCTTGTGGTACACCAGAAGTAACCAAAAATTCNTTTGTAGTACACCAGAAGTAACCAAAAATTCATTAGAAATAAAACTATTAATTTTAACCACCTGGGTACGAGAACATAGGTAAGATTTTAACCAATTAAAAAATGTACCATGAATACCAACACAAGATAATTTATGTAATAGAATATTGTGGTTTACTTTATCAAACGCTTTCTGAAAGTCTGTATAAATAGTGTCCAATTGAACACGTTGATTTAAAGCCGAAAGAATTTTCTCCTGAAAAAGTAGAATATTTGTAGAAACTGACATTTTGGGTCTGAAACCATGTTGGTTATTAGAAATGAGGGGAGTCATAATTAAAGACAATTTTTTTGTAATTAGTGCTTCAAACATTTTCGGAATTATGGACATTTTGGAAATCGCCCTATAACTTGTAATATTATGTTTATCTCCAGATTTATATACTGGTGTTACAAATGACCTTTTCCAAATGTTAGGGAAATAACCCAAACTTAATGATTTATTAAAAGTCATACGAAGCGGACGAACAAGAACCGAGCTACAATTTTTTAAAAATATAGGTGGAATACCATCAGGTCCAGTACCAGTATGAGCATTTAAAGAATTTAAATAATCAACAATTTCATTCAGATAGATAGTCCAGGAGTGTAAATTCAAATAATTATCAGATCCACCAGAAGGGAGAGGATCAAGTCCATTAAAGAGCGGAAGATCTTTGGTATAGACACTTGAAAAATAGTTTGCAAATAATTGAGTTGTTTCTAAAATATTAGTAGAAGATGAGTTATGGTAATTTACACAGAATTATTAGACTTCATTAGAGAGTTAATGTAATTCCAAAAAGGTTTGATATTTGTTTGAATGCTGTTTTCAATATTGGAAATATATTGAGCATGGCATATATTAATAAGATGTTTACATTTTTATGATGAGATACATGCGTGTGCAACTTCAATATTTGGAAAAGCTGTTTGAACATCTTTTTCAATCAATTTCTTGTACATCAAATGCTCATTACTCATTTTTGTTGGTTTAGGTTTAGAATAAAGTTTCATAAATTCAGCAAAATGAACAATTTCAACACATCACAATTCATCTAAATCATCTTTGTATACTGTTACGAGTCGTTTAGCGGCTTCTTGCAGTTCTTCATAGTTAAGTTCATATAAACAACCTAAAAAACCAAAACGATTACATATAACTTCATATGCTCTGATTTATTGAAGTTGACAATTGGATAACAACAGGTAGAAAACCTTTTTTAAAATTTTCCGAAGGATTAAGTTCGACACCCGATGAACTTTTGTAACCTAAAGGATCTAATCGAACATTATGTTTAAAGTTTCGTTTTCTAACATTATAATCAACAGAGTCTGATATAACTTTGCCTTTTTCTTCATACACAGAAAACAAATCGCGTTGAGCATCAATAGAAAACTGGCAATTGGATTGGAAAAATTCAAATAACAAATTCCATGATATCAACAGTACTACGATCAGACGTCCGGAAACCAATACTTTCTTTACCGATGTTAGACGTCCCGGAAACCAATACTTTCATTACTGATATTAGTATTTGTAATGGAAAAAAAACCAACAGAATCTGTCGGACGTACACGACTGACTAACTATTGGTTTTCTAATGCCGAGATCTCTCTCCGCATACGATTAGTTAACATTATGATGAGATACATGCGTGTGCAACTTCAATATTTGGAAAAGCTGTTTGAACATGTTCAATGACATTTTCAATGCGCGGGCCACGCCCTTGTCGATCCAACGTATCTTTAAATATCACGGAAAATACTATATTAATATTAAAAAAAAAACGGTAGCACAGTGGGGTCGAGGCACAGTGTAGACAAGGCATAGATGGAATAAATATAGATGATATTTGACAGTGATTAAAATCACTATCATAAGAAACATTTCGATGCAAATCTGTAGATCGTGTTTCATTTAAAGAAATTGGTGGATTATTCCAAAAGCAACATCAACTCTTATTTCTTTGATTATATCCTAATTAGTAGTTCTTTGATTTTAAAATATAATATATGAATAAATACTAATTATAATTATTAAATTTAGTATGAAATTGATATTCAATAATTTAATATTGTAATTTAAACGGAGAAATTATAAAAATAATAAAGAAGTTGTATTTTGCTTTATTTTTACGTGTATAAAAATTTAAAGGGCTTGATACAATAAAAATAAAAATCAATAAAAACTGTTACTATAAATAAATGTACTGAACTACAAGGAACTTTCATCAGTAACAAAAATATACCATTCTAAATCAACTTATCGCAATGTTTTCAAATCTGCAATTAGACTATTTCTATCACTTCTAAGTTTTAATATTATTAAAAATTAGTATTTACATATAAAAAATTCGCATCGAAGCTAAAAAATTGGCTATTTAAGCTAACTCAAATTTAAAAATTACTTTTTCGACTTTCAAAAGTAAAAAAAAATTAATAAGTTTAATTTCTGATGTCTTATAAACTGTATTCTATGTCAATTAAATTATATAATATTCATGAAAGTCAATATATTCTCCTAATAAGATATTTTAAAATAAAATAAAATACAAAACCTAGAATTTTAATAGAAAAATAGCATATTTTTGAATACGGTAGCCATTTGCGCATAGGAGATAAGTCGTCGGGATAATTTTTTTTTCATTTTATAGTACATAAAATAAGCTTTAATTTGATATATGTTTAAAGGACGCAGTATTTCCGGAACATTTTCAAAAATTAAGTTGAAAAAGTTATTTTTTGTAAAAAAGTTGCTATTTTAAATCCTCCCAGTGAGCAGAATAAGTGTTAGATTTTCAAAAAAAATTATATCAAATGAAAGGGAAATATCTAAGGTTTCAATACAAAAAAATATTATTTTTATTTGTTCATTTTTGAAAAAGTTATGGCAGTTTTAAGTACAAAAAACATCCCGATAAAATGTAATTTTTATCGCAAACATTACATTTTTTTTTAAATTTTCGACAGCCATTTGCACATAGAAGATAAGATGTCGGGACAAATTTTTTTTTTTCATTTGATAGTATATAACATAACCTTTGATTTGATATATGTTTAAAGGACGCAGTATTTCCGGAACATTTTCAAAAGTTCAGTTGAAAAAGATCTATGTTTTTTACAATATTTTAAGTTTTGAACGCCCCCTATATAAGGGGAAATTGTCCAATTTTAATAAAAAGTATGTCAAATGAAAGATGTACTTATAATGTATTTAGAAAAAAAAAATTGTGCTGATACATACATTTTTCGAAAAGTTATAGCATTTTTAAGTTGAAAATTAAAAATCGAAAATCGAAAATTTTAACACAAAAATAGTGTTTTTTTAACTACGGCAACCGTTTACATGCAGAAGATAAAGTGTCGGGACAAAATTTTTTTTTTCATTTTATAGTACATAAAATAAGCTTTAATTTGATATATGTTTAAAGGACGCAGTATTTCCGGAACATTTTCAAAAATTAAGTTGAAAAAGTTAATTTTTGTAAAAAAGTTGCTATTTTAAATCCCACTTGTGAGCAGAATAAGTGTTAGATTTTCAAAAAAATGATATCAAATAAATGGAAATATCTAAGGTTTTAGTATAAAAAAAATTATGTTGATTTGTTTGTTTTTGAAAACGTTATGGAAGTTTTAAGAAAAAAAAGTGAGAAAAATGACAAAATTTACCGATTTATAAATTTGTAATTTTTTTGGATATCTCCCCCTTTTGCGGATAACGAGGGAAAATTTTTCTATTTTTAAGGGTAATGTCTTTAACTAGATACGATTTGTGATCTTTTGACGTATTGTTAAAAGAAATCGGTCCAGTGAGAGCTGAGAAAAAGTGGCAACAGACAAAAAAAAAAAAAAAAACCCATCATAGTAAAATTAATACCTTCTCAGCTTTGCATCGAAGCTAATACTATTGATGTCGGAAAACTTTTAAAAATAAGCCGCCGTCTAACGGAAAATCTGGGGCACGAACAGAAAACGGAGTTTGGAGACTTTTTAACTTGTTAAATTAAAAATAAAACCAATTTGTTAAAACAGTTAATACCGATGTTAAATTATTTATTTCCTTATAGATCTATTTATTTATGTGATAACGCTCGTGTCGAAAAAAAATCGTTCGCAAATGGACGTTGCATGGTATACGCTCGTAAACGTAATAAAAAAATCTTTTTTTTTATTTTCGAAAATGTTTTGCAAGGTCTTTTGCAAGTTTTGGAATTTCTAAACTATATCGAATTAGAACTATTCGAGAGTACCTCGTGATGAAAAAAAAAACGTTCCGATGATATGTTTTCGATATTTTTTTTAATTTAGAAATAGAATTGATCTTTCAAACGAGTTTTATTGGCTATCGAAGACAAAATAGCAAAAGACTCTGGCGCCCGTCAATGCAAAAAAATGACGTTATTTGCGACCGAGCAAATTATGTACGCGACCGTTTAATGTTCCGGTAAGATTTTAAATCGTAGAAACGTTAAAATTTCGTGACATTGGCGAAATGTAACAAACGCGCGCGTCGAAGCGTTTTTTACGACGGTGAAATTATCCGACAGTTTCGGATTAGTATTATTAGAAACGTTTCAATAAAAAAAAAACGTCTACGGCAACTCGGTCGTCGGGACGTGACGCGGACGCGGTCAAAAGGTCCGACGGACGTTTTTCACTTTTTTTTGCTCGGTCCGTCGGCCGGTTTAATACTAACACTGCGCATTACAACGACCGCGACGATGGCGGTGGCGACGATAAAGTGGGTGGCCGCTTAAACAAATAAAGTCGACACCACCACACCAATAGCTATGCGGGTAGGTCTGGGCGGGTGTCTAGGTCGGTGGGTAGGCGGCAAGGTATGTCGTAGGCCGTCGCTATCCAACGCGAGCCGGTGTAATAATATTCAAACCTCTCCGGAGAGTTATTGGTCGTTTCGGGTTACAACCGAATTTACAACAATTTCTATAACAATAATACACACTACTGTTATCTCATTACCGTCAGGGTTTTTTTTTCGGCAAAACCATCGAATACCCCGTAAACGAGTCGAGTCCGGAAACGCTGTCGATTTTTGCATCCATAGAACGCATCGGTACGGCTGTTTTTTTTTCATATAATTTTCAAATTTTTTTATTACTTTCCGTGGGCGTTGCTGTGCAACGCATTGAAACGGCCCCGACCCGATGGCCGGAGGTCACTGTGCCGTCGTGCGCTCGGTTTCCATCCGAACGGTCGCGCGGGGTGGATGGAAACTGAAAAAGAAAATGAAAATGAAAAAAAACCAAAAGAGCCAAACATTATTTTGCCGATCAGTGCGGATTGGCGATGATAAAATGCGTGCCGCCGCCGCAACCATTGTAGGAAACATAACCGGTAATTTTGTAACAAAAAAAAATAATAATAATAATAATAAATAATAATTGGCATTCAGCAGTTGTCCGCGCGCGAGAGGACGGGGCGATGGGGGGAGATGGTTTTTTCGATTTTCAAACGGGATCCACAGCAGCCGGCAACAGCGTTTGTCGCATAAACAATGGTTTCTCTCTGGTCGTTGGTCGCTGCGATCGCGCTGTGCAACAAAGTGAGTTTTGTTATATCAATAGCGTACACATTTATCGAACACTATTACCATTATTGTTATAATTATATTTATATATACATACTAATAATATACCGGATTCAATTTCGAATTCGTGTACAAATCCTTTGTACGCTAATCGACCAACGTATGCGGTCATAATGTGTAACCGCCATACGTTGTTTCTCATGGATTATCGGTACTATATTTTGATATTCGTAACAAAATCCCAACGCCTAATTAAAATATTATGTATATAATATATACATATACTATATATATATATATATATATATTTGGTCGGTCGAAATGATTAAAAGCCATGCTCGATTTGTTTTGTCCGGTCCAGGACGGTTTGGCGTTACCGAAGGGCACGAAGATCGTGATCCGGTTCGACAAATTCGAATTCTCCGTCAACGAAACCGTCGGCCGACTGGACGAACGGGACATCACCAAATTCGGCGGAGCGGATTTCCTCAACGTGGCCCTCACGTTCCACTCGGATTTCATCATATACAAGGTACGGCAGTTGTTTGTTTTTTTATACCATTTCGTTTGGAGTTTGTTAAAAAACCATCGTTATTATTATCATCGATACGGTTATTATTATTATTTTATTGTTATCGTCGTCACTTTTCTTTTTTTTCGTTGCCGTGTTACAGATGCGACTGGAGGCCATCAAGTGCAAGGAGCATTACATCGACTGCGCCAACCACAGGACGTTCGAGGTGCAGCCGTTTTGCGGCAACGAGAAGACCATCTTGTTCTTCCTGAAAATCGGCTACGTCAACCGGGAACTGATATGCAATTTTCTCAAGGTAAACAACAACACGCACAGAAAACCATTGGTTATTAATATTATTCGTATACGCGTGTTGGTTTTCCATTTTGTCGTTGTATATTTTTTATTTTCTCGTTATTATTAGACGCAATAATTGATATTATTATTATTTTTTTTTTATCTTTCGTTTGGCAGGGTCCGTTCGTCGTCAGGAACGCCACGCTCAATCTGGACAACCTGATCGTGTCGATGGCCATCTCGTTTGACAAGTGGTGGGAAAAGTCGTGGCGGTGGAAGATCGACTTTTTCGCCAGCGACGGTTCGGCGTTGTTCTGGTACGACGGGGCGCACCAGACGCTGCTGCTGAGCAGCCGGACGCGCAAGCCGTGAGCGGAGTTTTCTTCGCGGCACTACCAACGCGTCGACACACACACGCCTGCCAACTCAAAACACCAGTTTGCGGCGGCGTGTCGTTGAAATTGTAAAACTATGAAAAAATAAAAACAAAATATAACGACTATCGTGACGTATTGATTCGTTGTACGTGTGTACGTATATGTATTGGTTAGTCCGTCGACGGACTGACCGTCCTTCCCGGAGTATTCCTAATGGTTAAGAAACCTCTCCCTTGGCGGGGAGGCAGCAAACTAACCTGAGTTTGGTTGGGTTGATCACACACACTGCATAGCTGTTTAACGTCGAATATAGATATATTTATCACAATAACAAACGTATGAGGATTGTTAGTAAAACTAATACCTTCTTCCGCACGAAGCTAATATAATAAATATATGTATTTAATTCGAAATTACTAAAAAATAGCGGATACAAACTTCGGTAACAATGTTACTCCATCATTATCATCAATGTTTAAATTACATTCGAATATATTTAACGGAAAATTTATTCGCGTAAATTATAAAACACGTTTGCATTTGGTTAACCTCCTCCTCTCTTTCACCTCGATTCCACAACGTTGTTAATCGTATTTTTGCCGGAAAAATAATTTAATCCGCGCGGACATGTATTTGAAATAAATAGAAATGGATTTCTTGTCAATGCACGCGACAAATGAAAAGAAAAAAATCAAATATCTCCGTGCAACCGTGCCATGATAATATTACGTCCCTATCCCCCAAGGGCAAGCAAACTAATAAAAAATTAAATTGGTAAACTATTCGGTAACGTTTTCTGTCGACCAAAGAACGAGTGAAATTTTTTACGACAATTTTATTTAATCGCGTTATTTTCCCTCCCCGGGCAGAATATTCGTACACCGTAAAATACCGCGTTATTATGTTATTTTCAGTGACTGAAAATAATCACACGTCGCTCCGGCACTATAATACTGTTGTTTTTTTTTTAAGATAAGATCGACCGCAAAAATTATCTGTCATCGTCCTTACTTTAATACGTCCAACATTTAAATCACGATACACGATAATATACATATACTATCGTAAACACAATAGTTTGGAATAAAAAATTCATTTGAACTTTTCATTTTTTATGACCTTGCCATTTTTATCTCGTCTTGTGTTAAAACGCGTCGGAATACGCACCGTCGCGTTTCGAATTCAAACGTTCTGTCGCTCAAACAGTTTATTCATTTTCATCGTTTTTTTTTTTTTTTAATTCTAATAAAATTCCGTATTGAACTCGAAATTCGAAATTAAAATCCGTAACAGATAATAGTTTTGTTCGAGCTTTCAACTACGTCGTGGTTCAAAGCTCGTCGGTTCGTTATGAAATCAACGTATAAATGATAAAAAACAAAATTATAATCCTAATGGCGTCAATGTTATTTCACTTTCTGAGTAGGATAGACATATGCGTTGATGTTATAGGCCAGTTAACGACGGAGTAATTTTGGCGAATGGCGGAAAAAATTCCCAACCAAATTTTTTTTTTTTAAAAGTTGAATTAAGATATGTATAATGATATACTAAAAGTTCTCATCGATTGGACTTGAGCTTTTTTTTTTACAGCCTCGCTGTATGACATAATATGAGCTTTTTTAATTTTCTCAAAAAATATTTAATTTACAAAAAAAAGTTTCCTACAAAATAAAAGTTGTTTAAAAGGCAATTCTAAACAAAAAAATTATCTTATATTTTTTCATTTAAATAAATATTTTTCGAGTTACATTACATTTAATATGAGTACTAAAATTTATTTTCCAATTTTTGTGATTTTACGGTTACTTTTTAACATGTTATACTTACATTAGACACGATGTTATAAATGCATATGTGTGTTTGTGTGAGTATATTTATTTATAGTATCATTAAAGTGTAATGTATATTAAGATACAATCGATAGAGTAGGTAACTGATTTGACGCTATATTGTTATATATACTATAAAGTTATTTGACAAATGTATCAAACAAAATTTTTTTCCATTTTCTTAATCATTTTCCCATTCTAAATTTTGATAGAATATATCTTCAACAAAAGTACAATTTTCTTAATATTCAATCTTTATTTCTATTGAATTTGTACGCCATTGACCTTTGCAATGTTTACATATAATAGAACATTTAAGCCCTGTTTTTCGGCAGCCACAATTTTACCAGCTCCAGCACCTGACTAGAGGCCGTTTTAAGACAATTATCTTTATTATTAGCAGAAATTCCGGTGGCAATAGACATAATATGATTGTTGTTTGGGAATGTACAATTTAGCGTTTAGTTGGGTTTAAACAATATAGCGTCAAATCAATTACCTACTCTATCGGTTGTATCTTAATATACATTACACTTTAATGATACTATAAATAAATATACATATGCATTTATAACATTGTGTCTAATGTAAGTATAACATGATAAAAAGTAACCGTAAAATGAAAAAAATGGAATATAAATTTTATNCACCTGACTAGAGGCCGTTTTAAGACAATTATCTTTATTATTAGCAGAAATTCCGGTGGCAATAGACATAATATGATTGTTGTTTGGGAATGTACAATTTAGCGTTTAGTTGGGTTTAAACAATATAGCGTCAAATCAATTACCTACTCTATCGGTTGTATCTTAATATACATTACACTTTAATGATACTATAAATAAATATACATATGCATTTATAACATTGTGTCTAATGTAAGTATAACATGTTAAAAAGTAACCGTAAAATCACAAAAATTGGAAAATAAATTTTAGTACTCATATTAAATGTAATGTAACTCGAAAAATATTTATTTAAATGAAAAAATATGAGATAACTTTTTTGTTTAGAATTGTATTTTAAACAACTTCTGTTTTGTTGGAAACTTTTTTTTGTAAGTTAAATATTTTTTGAAAAAAAAGCTTATATTTTGGAACTTTTGCGAGGCTGTAAAAAAAAAAGCTCAAGTCCAATCATTGAGGACTATTAGTATGTTATTATACATATCATAATTCAACTTTAAAAAAAAAAATTTGGTTGGGAATTTTTTCCGCCATTTTTCCTTTGTTGACTGGCCTACATGTCAATTTTAAACTTGTAATTGAGCTAAAAGTTATGGTAAAATATTCAATTTTCTTTACTATAAACTTTCATAACTATAAATTCATTTACTATGAACATTCGTTGACTGGCCTATTACTCGTCGCCGATTAAATAGTCGACAAACAAATAATAACTGTTACATAGTATATCGTTGGTTCGCTCGGTATTTGTACAGTTTTGCACGAGTTCTATTTTCGTACTCTGGATTTGATTCTCTCAAAATGCGGTGTGCCCCCAAAAGCAGGATAAAAATAAATTGAACAAATAATTCAAATCTATTGAAAAAACTGATCAAACATCGCGATACGGATGTGGCGCTATATAGATCCGCCGTGACGTTTGCTCCGGTTTAATTGCCTAAAAAGTGAGTTTTCGAGACTATCTATCGGCGTTAAAAGGATCGCCGCTTCTTCCGGCGAGTATTCTTAGATAAAGACAACCGATATCAGGTAAATCATATTCGATACCACCGCGAGACTAACTAGTCTTCCGGCGATCCGCGTTTGTTTACCACATTTTTTGTTGTATCAAAATGTGTCCGGTACGTTGTCCGGTACAATGCGTACCGGACAACGTAGCAAATAAAAACACAGAGAAGCCTTAGAAATATCTACTCTGTAGCTCCTTTGTGTTTTTATCGATTATGATTTTCATCGTACCGGGAAATTCATTCCGATTTCATAAAAGACAACGTGTTATCTACGACAAATAACGACGTGTGGTCATAAATAATACATTTTACCTTTTTGATAACAGAGGTAAAATGTATAATTTTCACCTCGGACACGACATCTGAGGTGAAACGCGATTCCTGAAAATTTTGAATTCAATTTGGTGTGGATTTAAGAACACGACTCGGAAATCTGGAAATTCATAACCGTATTTCTACGAATTTTAACTGCGACGACTCGTACTGATTTTAAAAACGTCCTCCGTATAATATAAATATAAAATTTTCCAAAACCGTGTTATTCTTAGAAACGAACCTAAATTTCGATAAAATTTAGGAAATTAGCAAATTTATGGAAAAAATTAATAAAAAAATAATTATGTCGGAAATTATTCTTACTGATATTACTCTTTTCAGATAATGTTCAAGCAGGGCTTAACGATTTTATTGGCTTTTCTAGTCGCGTTTTCTAAAGGTACGTGTCCATGTTAATATTATTTAATTTATGTACATTGAAGTAATCGTTAAATATTAAAATGTTTATAAATTGTTCGAAAATTATTATTAACTAATTGCAATAGAAATGTTATGTGCGAGTATAGGTGTAGCGTCAATCGTGGATAAGATGAGAGAAAATAGACTTAGATGGTTTGGGAAGAGTTGTTCTCTTCCCATGTTATGGGAAGAGAAGAATCGGAAGCCGTAAGAACAGTTGTAGAAATGAATGTTGAAGGAAAAAGAGGTAGAGGAAGACCAAAAAGGGAATTGAGGGATGTTATTGAATGCGACAAGAGGACAGCTGATGTGAGCGTAGAGCAGCGGTTCCCAAACTTTTTCAGCCATGGAGCCTTTTTTTAAAGATTTATTTCTCGCGGAGCCCCAAAAAATATTTCATGATGTTTTATCTACCTGTATTCTATGAAGCCTAATAAACACGAAACGTGTATATATGATATTAAATATAAAACGATAAATACAAATAAAAGAAAAAATAATATCAAAAGAACAAGAGAAAATATTATTTATTACTTAAAATTTATGAAATGTTGTGTCAATGAAAATTCTTATAATTACAAAATGAGAATACAACTGAAGCGTGGCGTGGCAAAACAGACAATCTCTATGTAAATATGAGATAAAAATTAGTATTACTAGTCAATATGTAGTGAAAAATTGAATAAGAAAATAAAAATAAAATTTTTTTTCAAAGTGGAGAATGTTGGTTTTACCGCACAACGCCTCAACTAGTTACGGTTTATTGAAAAAAAAAATATATTTATTTATAACATAACATGTGTTCTTGAAGTTCAAGTTTTAATGTGAACAGTGTGCCTGCTTTTTGCGACTAAGTTTGTCAATGTCCGGTGTCACAGAAGTTAATTGGAGACGCATATCGTCTTCTGCATTTAAACGTG